TATTGATATAAGTTTAATTGTATGGAATAACTTATAGTGTTATGATGGTAAGGGATTTTGGTGTAATAGTCGATTAGTCTCTAAAGCCATCCAAGCAGTGTGCTGTTGCTAGTGGTAGGGCAAATAGGATTCTAGGTTGTATCTATAGAAATATTGAATACAAGTCAAAAGATGTTATAATTTCATTGTACAGGTCACCGGTTAGGCCACATTTGGAATATTGTGTTCAGTCTTGGAGTCCTTACCTTAGGAAAGACATTGAATTGTTGGAAAGGGTTACTAGAATGGCACCAGGGATGGAGGGGTTGTCATACAACAAGAGGCTAAAATCTCTCAAATTGTTTTCTATTGAAAAAAGATTAGTTAGATGGGATCTGATTGAGGTGTTTAAGATTGTAAAGGGAATTGATAGTGTTGATGTATCATCTTTTTTTATATTTTAACAATGATAATAATAGGACTAGGGGACACAAATATAAATTTTGGCAAGTTAGGAGTCATCTTCAGCTAAGACAGTTTTATTTTTCTAACAGGGTGGTTGGCCTTTGGAATAGGTTGCCTTCAGATGTTGTAGAAGCAGTAAATTTAAGTGAGTTTAAGAAAAAGTTTGATAAGTATATGAATGAAAAGGTCTTGGTTTAAATTTTTTTAATCACTTTATTTTAGTTTTGTTGGGTTATATAATAAAAATAAATATATACAAATGTACAATTTTATGAGATTTAAGCTATTTAGTCTAAATATTTATGTTTTAGTGTTATAATTTGTTGTCATTCTAGAATGCAAGAGGCATAATTTATATTTATTTCCTGATTTTTTATGGTGATTACGAGATCAGACAAATCTACCAAACCCGTACAGAGATTCGTTACTGAAAATAACAGATATAATATAAAGTTTTTTCTTAAGAAACGTTTGATAACTATCTGGACATTATAAAGATTTTGCATGTGAAATTTGAAAATTTTCTGATGCAGAAAAGTATTTTTAATCCTAAAATGAAAATTACTTTGGATGTTGGAGAGGCATCATGCAAAAAGAAAAAACAAAAGGCATGTGATAAAAACATTGCTTTACAAACCTTATGACTTGAAAAAAAAAATTTTGCAATTGAAAGCATTGTAATTTTTCCTGATAATCTGCCAAATTCTGTTAACATTCACTTACTAATTTAAAAGTTATAGCATGAAAACTATAACAAGCACAAAATGGTTACGAGGTCAGTCCCAGGGACCGAACCTGTGCTGTGTTACTTACTAAAAAAATTCTTAGAATATTCATTTAAACAAATCTTAAATCATTCAACTGCCAAATTAAACAACTATTGCTACAGTCAAGAAAACCATAACTTAGAAATAAAATACAAATATTAAAGCAGTGCTTCCCAGCCTGGGGTCCATGAATTATTTTTCTTTAACTAAATAATTCATAGAAGGACACAGAATAATCACCCGTAAAAAGCTGAGACTGTTCTATAACTGTCACAATTTTTCTGGCTCCAAGTATGTGAAAAAAGCCTTTAAAATAAGTTAATTACTAGTTAATAAAAACAGTTTGTCGGGTAGATAGAATCTTTCAAAAAGATGAGGTACGTGGGGGAAAAAATGTAATAAAAGGAGTCCTTGGTAGTGAAAAGATTGGGAACCACTGTATTAAAGACTAAATCACAACACTCTTTAGGGCAGTTAAATACTCAGTCCCATTATTATTCGCCAATTTTCCAGTTTTGAACTGCAATAGATATTTGAATGAGCAATTCCTTAGACAAATATCTCAATTTACATTGCAAGCAATTACAATACAAATTTTACCAATCAAGGATTCAAGCTGCAGACTATCGCTAATAACATTTTTTGGCAACTGAATTTATTTTATTTTTTTGGTGTCACTTATGCTTAACCCAACAAAAATGTCCTTCTCCTTTTAAAAAGACTTGTAAGAACACCAAAAACAATAAATAAAAAGAGCCTGAGAGAAACAAAATGTAAATTTAATAAATTGGACAACAAGAAAATAAGCACTGTGCAACATACAGTGAATCTAAATATATTGTTCATCTAATCTATCTTTTTAGATACTAATTTGCAAATTTTTTATCAAAAGTGTTACGACTT